CTACATATACGACATTCAATTTGTCAGCAAGCGAAATCAGCCAATGGTTTACGTGACAATAGAATTTAACGAACGCGAATTTTACTCTTGGCATCAGTGTCAATAATTTTTGGAAATACTATATAACAGATCTGTAGTTGTATACTCTGAAACAGCAGGCAATCCATTGCACCTGCAATTTAGATCGGAACCACTGAAACCTTTAGGCCAATTATGCTGTTCCTTAGACAGGTCGAAATGCAGCACTGGTATCCGATCAGTTTTGAAACAAAGTCCAGGAAGTTAATTTGGCCACGATTGTCGCCATTATATGAGCCAACATGTATAAAAAAAAACAGCACAAAAACAACAGTATTTTATACAAATAAATAAAGCCTTTTGTAGTGATGTGTCCATAGCGTTTTCGCGTGTATAAGAAAAAAAATATGTATACGTCACACTAATTTTACTTTCGCGTGTTTTTTCGCCTGTGCGTAGTGTTTCCGTTGTCAGTTTGATCAACAAAGAAGCAAGGTCATTCAAGAGTAATTTTATATCAAAGGATATACCACCTGACATCCTTAGGCTAGGTGGACAATTTGGTAGTGTGAATTTGTATAGTATAGGAGAAGAAGCGCCCTTAGCATTAACCTTCTCGTGGATTTCTCGTGTGCGTAGTGTTCACCTTTAATAATCAAAACGAACTTTGAATGATGCAAAAGCGAATTTGGGCAAGTTACAAAAACGAGCTTTGGCCAATCAAAGAATAAACTTTGGGCTATAGAAAAAACGAATTCAGTTCATTAGAAAACGAACTTTGAGGGTGGAGCCACTGCACATATGAAAAGAGGGAGGATAAATATTTTTTTATATTTTAAAGTCACTCGGGCAACAGTTAATGATTACATTGGGTATGTAGTTCGATTAGTTCATATAAGGGCTGTATATCCTTCTTTTCGAGTAGATCGAATTGTCTGGCAAAAGATACGAAATGAGCAAATAACGAGTTGAAATGAGGTTCTTCATGTAGTGAAATTATTTTATCAAAGTGATGATGGTAAATATGTGCAAATAGCTTAAATAGTTGTTTAAATATGTTCTTTACAATCTGAACAAAGTCTACTGGAAACTCTCGACCTGATTTGGTTGGAAATAATCTCTCGTCTTCAATCATGCTCTCTATATGACTCGTCATATAGTCTATATATTGCGGTGCTGACAGTTTAATCTTTTTGTTGGTCATGTTATCTGTCCATGTATATTCTGTTCTATACGATATTTATTAGTGTATAAAAAAAGATATATACAATGAAATAGGCTTACCCAGGTCCTGCTGACATGGTTGGACAGCTCTGTGGTGTACAAAAATCAGTAATGGATCCATAAAATAGATTTAGATGATTAAAAAATTCAAAGGCTATATAATATATTAATATGAATAATAGTGTGTCACTGTGGTCACTTTACTGTTAAATGCGAGCCATTCATTTATATCAACGTATTTAGGTAATTCGATAATCGTTTTAAAATCACCCTTCACCAACATAATTGTTGCATATGGATGAGTTAGAAACAGTGGTTTGGAGTCAATTATCATATTGCTACTACAAGAACTTTTTTTGAAGCTTTTCTTTTTGCTTCCTAAGCTACGCCATTTGTCAACATGTTGGACTATAAAAAGTTACTCATTTACTTTATACCTGAAATTAAGAAAACTCATCTACTACAATTGCGTGGATTATTATGAAGAGAAAAAGTGAGAGAGAGAGAAAGAAAAAGAGAATAAATACGGAGTTTCTTCCGATATGATGATTGTCACCCTTTTGAGTGATTTTATTTTAACAACAGCAGTAAATGAACCAAAAAAAATGAACGTCTTTATTTCCTCCATTCTACAAATCGGTCCCGAAAAAATAAAATTAACTGTCCGGCAAAAATCAAAAATTCTCGGAAATATGACAGCCATATTTTTAAACTTAGGTGTTTAATGTTCTGAAATGAAAGCTGTATTTGTCTTTTAGGCTTTGAAGTTTACTGAATGCCTTTTCATATGCTAATAGTAAGCCATTGGCTTCTATATTTTCAATATAGCTCTTAATAGAGATAGGATCCTCGTTAGAATGACGAATAGTGCAAGCAGTATCTGCTGTACGTCTTAATGTTCTTTCACTAGACGTCATATCAGACTGTCCACTGTTCATTTGTGAAGAGGAGGGAAGAGAAGGAGCGTCTTGCGTTTGGCATGTGAGTACCTTGATGCCGGTTGAGTTTCTTAATATGCTGAATTCGTTTACATGGATGTCAAGCAAGTATATACGCTTACAGGGTTGCTGGTGTCTTCTGTAATAATAATAGGAGCACTCAATGCTTTTACAATCATCTACTGCAATGAGATAAGAATTGTTTTCATCATTAAAAGACTCAATAATCCAATTATCATTCTATGGTATCTACATTTTCATCTTCTATCTCCGAGAACACGGCTTGTGTGCTCTTTTTTGAAGTGAAAAATGAAAACTGAAGGTGACGAACCAAGAAATAAAAGTATACTTACCACTTCTGTGACAAACACGTATTTCGGCATAAACCTTTTGATATCTCTTCATGGGTGCATCAGTAAGCACATATCTCTTGGAAATAACCCAATGGACAACACAGGCTACTTCAATTTCTTTTAGACATTCCTTCCACACTGATTTTTGAACGTAAGTAAGGAGTACTTAATCTTCATAACACCATCAGTAAGGATGGCTCAAATTGATTAATATCAACCAGACTGATGGGATTAGCGAGAGTGCTGACTACTTCAGACATGACTAACAGAAAATAAAGGAACAAAAAAAAGGAATAAAAAAAAAGAGTATAAAAGAGATGAGGAGGAAAGGTAGAAGTCCTTGAAAAAGTTTTCTTAGTCTGAAATAACCTACAAAGACTCATCTGTAACACATAACATTTAAAAGATGGCTTATTCAATAAGAGGAAACCTGGCCTATTTCCTTAATATAGTAATTAGCAAAATCAAGGCACCAAAGCTTCAAAAAGCTATAAAAGAAAGAGATACATTTTTTACTTTTAGTTCTACATCAAGCACCTTTGAAACTACTGTAAGCCCTATCCTTATGCTATACTCTCTCTTTTTAGTATTTCTACTAGAAAATCAAGGAATATCAGAATGTATTGCTTTGATTTCAATCATCACTTTTGAATGAGTGCCTCCCTTGATAAGCTAAGATCAGTAATGAAAGAGTCTAACAACAACAGCAATGATCGTCACTACTTTTTTGTAATAAAATCAAATATTTAAAGAAAGTCTATGTAATATGTATTATTCTCTAATGTTTATATATGGTAAAATGCAAGCATGGAATAATAATATATAATACAAAAAATCGAGTAACTGTATGAAAAAGAGATTTGGTTGATATGATTGTTGGCAGAATGTTGACTGAACCTTACAAACAATTATAAACTGTCCTGGCTATAAAGTATCGTCTTTGCAATGGCTGAATTTGGGTAATTCGCTATTATTTCTATTTTTTTTTTTTTTTTTGTACAAAGGAACAACTTACAACTTAATAGGTTGTTTTAGTACTGCAAAGGATCACCAGCCTTCCACGGAGCCCTTGTTTCTTTGCTTTGATGCTTTCAAGAGACGGTGCCAAAAGACTGTTTAGTGATATTATAAGGTTTCCCCTTTTTCTTTCGCTCTCAAAAGATAAATTCATTATACTAAAATCCCTAAGTATGTATTATCCCGTTTATGACAAGAACAATTTTACTGATAAAATTCAAAAGTATCCTACAAAGTATATCAGAGAAGCTTTTCTTTCCAATGCCCAAGTTTCATTCAAAGAAGCGCCAACGAGAAGTAGGCAACTCATTCCCTTCTGTTGTAAGCTTCCCAGCCAGATGGAAGTTTGGAAGACTTGGAAGAGAAGGGCTTGACCCACCACTTAAATGACCCCGTATAACACAAGATAGAGATCAATATTTGATGGATGCCTTTATGGAACAACTTGAAATACAACTTTCCAACTACATCCATCACTGTTACCAAACGAGTGGAAATACTGATGCGCTTTTCCGGACAGAAATATCTCGCTCAAGGTTACCGCGTAGAATTGTACCTAGTGCTGAAGTCAGGATTCAAGCACGCTCAATTGTCACTGAATCAAAAATGCTTTTTTTGGATCTATTTTCGACCTTGAGGAAATCAATGCTTCATGTTACAATTATGGCTTAAAATTTGCACATAACATGTATGCTTTGCCTGGGCTCAAGACTGTTGGAATCAATGGTTATTTATTGAATGAAACACCTACTGGTACAATAGGATTATCTCTGCAAGAAGGAAGTAGGAAAACAAAGATAGATAATCGCCAGCATGGGGTTTCAGATGGATCAACAATATTGCAGGTAGAAGTTGATGCTCTGCAATGGTAGCTTAGGAAGCATTATTCTGATAGAACACAATTTGCTCTCTATAATGAAGTCAGAAGGTTAAAGAAGAAATGAATCACTAATAAAACAAGACTACTGACTGTTGTTGAGGAAGCGCAAAACATGGCAACATACAATGAGATCCAGCAAGCCAAGATTAGGAGGAATGTGATGTATGAGCAGATTATTGATACAAAGCAAAAGTTATCAGATGCAAGAATGCAACTGTACCTTATCCGTAATCAAGTTAAGCCAGAATTGACAGAAGCTAGGCAACAGAATACAATTACCTGGGATAGCTACAAAAGGATAGATAAAGTGGAGAACTTTAAAATTGATGATGGCCTATTAAAACCTGATACAGTAGCTTTTTCAGATATGGATGATGAACTGATGACAATGATGGAAACTGTGGAAATGTCTTTAGAAAGATTTGAATCCCGTTTGAAGCTTTACAACCATGGTAAGTATTTAAAGTTTATCTTTTGTATTCATTAAAGCTAACTCAATTACGAATGCATAAATAGAATCTCAAACAATATCCAATGAAAATCTGTTTTTTAATCTGGATAAGCCTTTCAAGGTAAAGTTACGCGTTATATGTTGTCATAGTGGAGCAAGGAAAATGATGGAAAAGCTGCAACGAGCCAAACAGAATGGTGGCACAAGGATATTACAGATAGAATCAGAAATTGCTGAAAAAAGCAAAATGAAGTATATTTCTGACAAATTTGAAGACCTCGCCGTTCACTTTTCGCAAAAGAAACGTAGACAGGCATAAAGCCGTCGACTTCATTACTTCGGGGAAGACTCAATTTGACAAATAAATAGACCAGAAACTAGCTCTTTCACTTCTCGCCTATTCTTCCTCTTCTCAATTTGGCATGGGTATGTATATATATTCATTGAAATTCAAGCTTCTTTACTAATGCTATGTCTGTGTCTCAATTTTGTAATCCGTAGTTCATTTACCCTCTCAGTATATGAACAAACGCCGTAATATTTTTATTTTTATTTTTTACATAAAGGGACTTAATGACCATGAGTTTCATTTACATTGGATGGTGAACTAATAGATATCGTATTTGCAGTATCAGTGGGAAGAGTGGCTGGGAGTTCTGTTAGAGAGCGTATTGGATCATTCATTAAATAAAAGTTGGGACAGTTCTTGTTGGTTTTCATATGTCCAAGTTGGCCACAGTTACCACAACGACGCTAAAGAGTGTATTAGGCCACAAAGTTTTCATTGTCAGTTTTAAAACTTACCATCGCGCCTTCACGTTTTCCTCTGATGAGACCCAAGACAGGGTTCTCTGCTAAAGCAGCTTGTTTGGCCAGTTGACGTTGTCTTCTTCTTTCGGCATTACGTTTCAGTTTAGCCAATTGATCTTGAATACGTTTCTTCATACGTGCAGTCTTTTCATCATCATCATTAGGGTCGATTCCTTCAGCACTATTATGTATATTAGTACACGACATCAGGTTTGTTTTGTGTAGACATACCTTGTAGCTTCTTCTTCAATCATTTGTCTTTGTCTCAAGTATGACTTGATAACAACTGGATCACGCACAACCTCTTGTTGCCATGTCTTTTCTCCATTCTTTTGTGTAATCAAACGTCTGATGATCAAATACTTGTTTTGATTGTTGACGTGATAGCTCGAGCTTAAACTGCCTGTCACTGACACGTCATCTTCGTCGTCATAAAGTTCCGAGGTCGCTCTATCAAATCTGCTGCGGTGATAAGAGGGTGTTGATGGGCCACCACGATGCCAATCATACTCAGACTAAAAACACAAATAAACACCTGTTCAGCATATACATATAAAGTAATAACTTACCGTTGAAGGACTGTACACTTGATCAGTATCCCTTTCCTCTTCTTCTTGATCTGTCAATTCAGGTTCAACCGGATTACTCAAAGAGTCCAACTGCGCCTTCCAGATACGAGCGATTTCTTCCCTGTAGATTTGTTGCTGTTCAGCGACATTATATCTATGTGCACTCTTGGGCCTAGCCTTGATTTGAGCCAGTTTTTCTTCTGCTGATTCACCCGCACGCAAGAAGATATCCTTCATCGACACACGAATAAAACTAAAGCCTTCACCTCTTCCAGTTGGGTCACCTGCACCATAGAGCTTCAACATAGCTTTTCCTTGTGCGGCATTGATGAAGTTTCGAGTCGAGAACCAAGGTGCTAACTGTTGTTCTACTTCCAAGTTCGAGTCACCTTCACCCGTTTCATCTTCGTCGTTCATGTCACCATAACCAAGGTCCTGCAAGTGACGTTCACCTACCAACATACTCTCATACAAACAAATCATTTCAGGTGTCACCATCTTACGAAGTTCTTCTTCATCAGGTGGATCTGCCCCTCCGCGGGTCTTCCAGTATCCCCCGCCTCCGTCTTTGTTTCTTCTGTGAAACTCCAAAAATTCCTTAAGTCTCTGTCTGATCTGTATATCCGAATACTCTGGGAATTTTTGTGCAAGCTTGCCCATCTTTAATCGGTGTAGAGGGTTTCGCTTGATCAATCGATAGGCAACCACTTGCAGTCTGTTCTTGATGATCGTTGTCACCTTTCGTGAGTGTGGGCCAGGGACTTCTTGTACAGGATAGGATTGACCAATCGTAAAGATGGCAGGAATTTCACGAAGATAGTATTTGGTCTGTCCCTTATAGGTACTCTTGATAAGCAAAAAGTCAGTGTGCTTGACTTCATGTCGAAACAAGGGCGCACGAATCAAGTTGTTATAATAGACTGGAATTGTCTGGCCAGGCTCAACATTACCAAAGTTCATAAAGGGTGACGTGTCTCCGATATCAAGAACAAATGGTTCTCCAATATCAAGATTGGGCACATGTTCATCCTTTGGCTCTGTCTTTCGATAATAGTTTACGACCAAGGTACCCATGCCCATATTTGAAATGATAGGAGGATGCTCTTCAGAATATTCCATGAGGACAAACGGGGTACTGTCCTTGAGCGTCAAGTCTTTTGTGCTTCGCATAACATCGATGTAGCCCTTCTTTTTGTCCCTTCTCTTTTTCTTGCTTGCCTTGACCCGAGAAAAGTGAATGTCAGTGTTAGTCGGCAGTTGGATAAGTGGTCTGTGGAAAGATCGCAGTTCTGCTTTTGAAAGTTTTGACTTGTATAATGCAGGATGCAGTTTTAATGCTGGTAAGGCATGCTGTACAACTAGTTGACCAAACGTTTGACGTACACGGACAAGTCTCCCCGCAAGATGTGTCTCATAATGTTTATCATTCGATAGATTGAAGCGGTTCAAAGGTAATTTGTTGTGTGGTTCAATTTCAGTGTGGTATATTTGAATCTTTGGCAAAGGCTTTGGTATAGGCTTTCTACCCTTCTTCACATGCTTTGGTTGAATCAATAGTTCTTTGGTTGCCTCTACCTCTTCTACATCAAATAGCATATTTGGATCATTCAAGTCTAATGTTATCTTCATTATCTCGTTTGATGGTCGTTCTCTATCCCAAATAATGGCCTGTAACCAATCTCCTTCTTCTAGTTGCATGTTCAAGTGTTTGTTGACAACAGTTGTCTGAGCATCATCACTAGATAGAATGTTAGTTCCATAAAGATAGCCATGACAACTTAGCTTACATCATGTCTTCGTCTTCCTTATCCCAAATGATGTCTTCCTCCCATTTTTCGAGCATAATTGAATGAAATGTTTTGTTGTTATCTAAAGCCGCTGTAGGTATCTCTGCAATATCGGGCCTATCAGGGAAATCTTCCATATATTCGTTTTCACTTTCATTACTGCTGCTCGTTTCGTCTTCATCGGTTTGTTCAATCCTTCTACGTTTGATTGGTTGTTTGGCTTGTTCCAGTTTTAGACGATCCCATTTACTTGCTCTCATAAACACTGATCGATCATCGCGCTCTACTTCATATTCATATCCATCACCATAGATGACTAAATAAATAATGAATAAAAACAGATCTAGAAACAAACTATATCTACTATACTTCGTTTATTTGACTGCAGCTTGGGTGGCCTCTGTATTCGAGTCATGAATAGTTCTGAGAACTTTAATACTTTTCCTTGTTCAAAACCAGGAAACAGCTGCTTCACATCAATCTGTCTTTGCTTTTGGTCCTCTGTGTAAAGTGTGGGTAATTCTTGTTCTACTTTTATCTTTTGCTGTTCCTCTACTTCACTTTCTTCTTCATCGTCATAGTTTTCAGTTACGAGAGATAGTCGTGACCGAGGCAAGTTCTTTTGAACGACACCCATGCCTTTTCTGAAATATTTTTCGGAAAACATTGGATCGTCTGGCACAGCTTCATTAAAATCTGAATAATCAACAGCGTCTGAAGAATGAACTGTAGGAATTGAAGATCTTATCACAGTTTCTTCTTCATCTTCGTCAACTGCTTGTGCATGTTCTAAACCAAATGTATCGTCGCTAAATATTTTTGAAATGACACCAGCGTCAACGCTTGAAAGTGTTTCTCTAAGTTCCTAAAATGAATTTAGTACGAGATTTATAAATTAAATGACTTTATTTACATCGTCAAGATCACTCTCAAGTCTTCCTTGTTCGTCAACATTGCCAAAGAAATAGCCTGCTAACGACATTGTTCAATGTAAAGAAAAGAAAAGAAAAAGAGTTTAAAAAAGCATATCTGCGGATGACGAACATGATTTTCGTTCTCCGCACTTTTCCTGTTTCTTTTCTTCTTTTCTTTCTGTTTATCAGTTTTTGCTATATATTTATATACTTTTTTGCTTTTGAGCAAAGTTAAAGAGATACATTAAAGAAGAGAGCGAGAGAGCGAGCGAGAGAGAGAGAATAAAACATATAGAAAAGAAAGAAAGAGATATCTCTTCTTTTTATTTATTTAATGTCGACCGAAATAACCACTGCTCCACCCATAACAACGACGACGACGACAACGACAACAACAAGGTTATGTCATCGCCATCAACCTTCTAGTACATCCTTTTCTTCAGCCTCTTCTTCTTCTTCCTCCACTCGTCCCGCCTTACCACAGATTCTATCCAATTCTGCATCCAATGCTGTTAATTTTACTAGAAGTGCAACGTCGACTTCAAGAAGAGTACGATCACATTGGTTTACACATTTTGTGTTAAATTGGCGTCGAAGCTCACGCTCGTCTAAACTACTATTAGGTTTCTCAATGACTCTAGTTGCCATTCAAGTTATTGCCAGCATACTTGTCTTACTAGTGTCTTGGGAAATGTACTGTGATAAACCACTTCGAGTGTTTGTTTCTGTATATATTATCCGTCTTGTCATCACTGCCCCCATTACTATATATCTTCACTTGACACCACGTCGCCGGTCGACACGTATCACTTCTTCGCCTCGTACAAGTACAAGATCTGAACTGAGTGAGGCTTATGCCTTGAGCGAACGAAATAGACCCGTCTCCGTTCCACCGCCGGTAACGACAAATAACAATCATCGACACTATCCTCCGTTTGTGGCCCCAACCCAGCATTCGTTCCTGGCGGATACAACTTCGCAGCAAATGAATAGTAATACGTTTAGGATTTGTGTCGATAGGTAAGTCATATCTTTGGCATTTTATTCTATGCACATATCTCATCATGTCACTCCCTAAAGAGCCAAATCTGCTCTGGACGTATTTGCAGTTTTGTGGTTTATTATCGGAAACTATATGCTTTTCTCATCTACAACATGCTCGGACACTGCCATTCCTCTTTATTATTTATCTCTGTGCATCATCATTTATGGGTATTTGATACTATCTGTACCAATCTTTTTATGCACCTCTGTCATCTTTTGCTTGCCCTGTGTATTAGGTAAAACAAACAGAAAATAATAATAATAGATAAACAGCTTACACATCTTGTTAGTTGGCATGAGGCTATTACATGTAGATGATGGCGTGTATATGGGAGGAGCAACCAGTGAAGAGATTGCCATGATACCAGTCTATCGGTTCAAATCGAATAACTCGACATCACCTTCTTCATCTTCTCTATCAGAAGACATGATCACTATTGATTTGAGTAAGGTTCATCCTTACCAAGAGAAGAAATCAAGCTTATTGGATAAACTGTGGCTGCATCTCGGACTCATTGATCCACCGTGTGAAAAGGAAATTGAACTGGAGTTACTGGAAATTCCAGACACACAAGATCAAATATGTGTCATTTGTTTGTCTACTTATGAAGATGGTGACATACTATGTAAATTATGGTAAGTGAGCTCTTATTTAGATATGAATGACTAATCACAAAGTAGGTGTAAACATCATTTTCATAAGGCGTGTCTGCATGAATGGCTTGCATTGAACTTTAGATGTCCCATGTGCAAACAAGACTCGAGAGGAAAAGATGTGATATCCGTGTAATTTCGTTTGTATTATACATTCATACATATTTTAATTTCATTCATCCGTTTTATATTGTATTTTACTCTATTTTATATATTAATCAAGGGCGCACATCCAAAATAAAAAAGGCACAAATGCATTTATTCTGATATTTACACGGTTAAAGACTGTTCCAATTGATCGTTTCTCTCGCGTGTTCATTCAAGTATTCATTCGCCTTCTTAAAGTGTCCACACTGAAGGAAGCCTTTATGAGCAGAAAGTGGAGATGGATGAACACTCTTCAGGATCAAGTGTTTCTAAAAAGGATTCTTTAATTGATGATTTATATACAGTGTCTCTTACTTACAGACTTGTCTATCTTTGATCCTTTCTTTTGAGCATGACTACCCCATAGCATAAAGACGATGTGCGATTTCTTTGTATTCAAATACTGTATGACAGCATCTACATGTAAAAAATAAATACTTGAGAGTCCTGTTGCTATATTAAACCTAACCTGTGAAATGTTCCCATCCTTGATTTGCATGGCTGCCTGCTTTATGTGCTTCTACCGTCAATGATGTATTCAATAACAATACACCCTGCTTTGCCCAATTCTCCAAATATCTAATGTATAGTTAGACCACACATTCATATTATACACATATATACGCACCCATGACTTGGCACTACAAAATCAGGATAATCTGTTTGAAGTGCCTTATACATGTTAACTAAAGAAGGGGGCACCTTGACACCCTTAATGACAGAGAAGCACAGACCATGAGCTTGATTAAAGTTATGATAGGGGTCCTGTCCCAAGATGACCACTTTGACTTGAGAAGGAGGCGTGTAATTGGACCAACTATAAACTTGATCCACTAGACATATTTTATATAAGAATATTGAAAGGGGTATCTTTATAAAATAAACTTACAGGGAGGAAAAATGGTCTTTTTGGCTGCTATTTGATCCTTCAAGTATCGTTTCAACTAATAAAGAGTAAGTGACATAATCTTACAAGAGAGTTTATTTACCTTTAAAAAGTATGGTTTTACCATTTCAGGAGCAAGCACTTTAAGCCATTCTTTATTCATGGTTCTGATTTCTAAATCTAACAGCTCCAAAGTTTCTTTATCGACATCCTTAAAGAACTCTTTGGGATCTTTATCTTCTTGTTTGTCAGTTTCTTTGTTGGTGGTAGGAATCGGCTTAAACATGGATAAGAGTGACATTTGCTTTTTTCCTACTGCTGTAGGCTTCTTGTTGGGCAATTCTGGCGCGTCATTGGCAAGAGGACGCTTATTGTTTGCTGGCATATTAAATGACAAGAATAAAAAAAAAATAAAAAAAAAATTGAAATTTCAAAGCACTGTTTTGGTGTCCTCTTTCTTTATTTTCTCAGGAATATACACACACCTATGCTTTCTTTATTGACTAATATGCGAGATGCGTTGATAATATACATGAATATAATATAAACAATGATAGCATTAGTTACGTGCTCTCTTTCTATGATGAGCCTGTTCTGCGCTTTCTTGTCGGTATGGCGTGGTTCTCTACAAAAAAAAAAAAGATTAGCTCTGTTATTATTAATATTCTTACAAAACTTACTTCAACAACAGATGTTCCATCTTTAAATCGTGTCTTGAATAGCACATTTGCATTATTAAACATACCATCCTTTAGTGAGACAACCAAGAATTGAGAGCCTTTAAATCGTGTTCTCAGCAAGGAGCCAATATTTTGTGTATGTGATAAGTCAAGGGCTGCATCTACTTCATCTAAAATATACATTGGCGCAGGTTTAAATTGCAGTAATGATAATATAAGTGAGAGAGCAATCAAAGATCGTTGACCTCCACTAAGTTCTGTCAGACTTTGCTTCCATACGCCACCAAGACAGACCTTGACTTCCAGTCCATCTGATATTGTCTTTCCTTCAGGAGGCTGTAATTTACATGTGTTACCTGCCAATAAGTCACCAAAAATTTCCGCAAAGTCTTTGTTGACTTTTGTATAGGTCTTTTCAAGAGCCTCAAGCTTATAGTTTTCAAGAGTACTTATCGTATCTTCAATCTTTTGCTTGTCTTTTTCTACGGTTGCGATCATTTGCTTTAATGAAGCTTCCTTTTTTTCAACACTAAATAGGGTTAAGACAAGACTATAGAGTAATCTGTAGCACTTACTTGTCAATCATGTTCATCACACGAACATTAATCTTTTTACGTAGGGTTTCATGATTGGCTGTCAGTTGTTGGAGCTGCTTTCTCAGATCAGGGATATTTGCATTTGTATAATCATAATTTGTGCCTGGTTGACCAAAAAGACTATAGAAACATTAATATATCATATAAATCGAGGATTTGAGTAACATACTGCTTTTCATCTGCTATCCATTCGTTTTGCGCTTCTAATTCCACAACTGCTTGTCTCGAATGTTGTCTATCTTTTTGGAATCTGTCTATATCATGCGTTAACTTTTGCACTTTGAGATTCAATTCTACGACTTCTTCAGATTTGCGAGTATGGAGCGCGCTTAATTCTTTCAGTTCTTCGTTTCGTGCGTTCAATTCTTGAGTTTCCTTTTTCAGCTCATCCTTCTTTTCTGCTATGCTGCTTTCAATCGAATCAATTTCTTGTTGCATTTCAACAATCTGCATTTTGTATTGATCAATGCTGTCCTTCACCTTCTCAATTTCTTCTTCGCATGTTCGGATATCTGCATCAAGTTGTTCAATCTCAAGCTCAAATGTTTGCACTGTTCTTTGCATATCCTTCAATTTACTTCCATTTTTCTTTAATTGTGACTTCAACTGTTCAACTTTTGTCGTGAGCTCATTTAGTTTTGTATCCTTGTTGTTATTAAAGTCTGCCATTTCAGCTTCAATTTTGTTGCAAGTGGCGATTGCCTGCTCTTTAGCTAATTTTGCTTGCTCCCTGGCCGCTTCTTGTTGTGTGATTTGTTCCTTGACCGATTCTATGCGTGAGGCTAGTTGGGCATGTATGCTCTTTTTCATACGTTGCTCCAAAAGCGATAGTTCATGACGTTGTAAATCAAGACGCTGCTTGTATTGTCTGTATTCTGCGATGTATTTCTGTGCATTTTCAAGTTCGTCTTCTAATGCATCAAGTTCTTTCTTGTGGTATCTAACATCTGCTTTCACGTCATTGAGTTCTTGAGCTCTAATCAAAATGCCACTTGAGTTAGGCTTGGATCCACCCGACAAGGTACCATGTGGGTCATAGACATCGCCATCGAGTGTGACTGATTTGACACTAACTCCCTTATTGAATGTAACATCTTTGGCTGTCTGTGCATCTTCACAGATAAACGTATTTCCAAAAATCCATTCCATAGCAGCATGAACTTCTTCATCATATCCAATCAAGTTCAATGCAAGATTCACTTTACCAGGCGCGATTTTTTCTGCAGTTGCAATCTTTTCTGCAGATACCCTAAATCCTTGTATCTTGTTGAGTGGGACCAATGTCCAACGACGTCGTAGCCTTCCCTTGTCCAACAGTTGAGCACCCACTTTTTCATTTTCAATGACAACGTTATATAGTTTGCCTCCCGCACAGATTTCAAGGGCTGTGGATGCATCGAAGTTTTCTTTATCTAAAGTAATAAGTTCAGCAACCAGGCCCTTCACTTGGGATCTGTCAAAGTCAGGAGATGGTAACGAATACTGGAAATCCAAGTTGGACAATTTTCTTGATAACTGTTCTTGTTTATCATAAAGGTCATTCAAGGCATCATGTAACTGCCTCCTGCGACGTAAAAGCTCATTTTCTCTATCTGGAGTCCAACTAAACGTACCCAAGTGTTTCTCCAACTCTTCAATCTCTGATTTTTTCTTTTCTAATGCAACGACTGAGCCTTGACTCTCGGCTAGTGCCTTTGCAGCCTGAGGCTCTTTTTCAGCAAGTTCTTTGCGCAAGTGTTTTATCTTTAATGAAGCTTGCTCTTCTGCAGTCGAGGCTTGATTGACCATGTTCTTGGACTGTTGAAGTTGTTCCATATAGCCATTTTCATGACCCTCTTCTGCTGATATACCCGTTGTTAATGTTTGAATTAACTCATCTGTGCTCTTCATCTCTTCCGTCTTTGCATCATACTCCTTTTTAAACTCTTCATACTCTTTGCTTACTGCCATATACGAAGCCTTCTTTTCACTTAAATTTTCCATCAGTTCTCCTCTCTGTGCTGCTAATGCAGATATGGCTTTCTGTTCTTCAGTGATGGATGTCTCGAGCAGCCCTTTTTTGGTATTAAGCCTTACAAGCTGCGTAGAATAATCCTTAATAGATGACTCCAACTGCTTTATCATACTCGAACTTGATCCATTTTGTTTCATCTTGTTCATCACAGACTGCATATCTTCATCAAGTTTATCAATTTCACTCTGTAGAATCTGGATAGACTTCTTCAAGTTATCAATCTCTTCAATCTTTCTATCATTATCCAAACTTGACTTGTTGAGCCTTTCCTCGTGTTTCTTATATTCGTACGAAATGAGCAATCGCTTCAATCTTTCCATTTCTGATTCATTCTTTTGATAGTCCAAATACACTCGTTTTTCCAGACGAAGTTGATCCAACTTGGGCACAATTTCCTCTGCTAGTATCTTATTGATCTCTTCCACCTTTCTTTCTTTCTTTGCTATTGTTGCTATTGCCTTAGTCTTTCTGTCCTCAAACATCTTTGTGCCTGCAGCTTCTTCAACCATACTCAAGATTTCTACAGGTTTCATGTTTAGTACCTTTGTGATACGCCCTTGCATGATCAAGAAGTGAGGATTGTTAATATTTAACTGAACAGACTGAAATAGATTTTGTACTGTTTGTTGTTGTGCGTTATGTCCATTGATAATATATTTCGTTCGACCACCGACCAAGACCTAATATGAAATTAATATCAACTAAAATGCTTGTCAATTAAGCTTACTTGGCGTGTAACAGTTATTTGATTATGTGTCTCGAATCCAACAGGACTCTTTTCTCGATCTTCATTATTAAATACAACCGTAACTGATGCCTTTGTGACACCTGCTTGTCCACGCTTGTAGATCAAATCTTGTAGATTACTGGCTCGAACCTATATCAATAAAAAGTTAGATTTGACAAGTGACGGCTGGAGAGAGAATAAAGTACTTGAGATAAATTTGTAATGCCTAGTACGAAGCAAATAGCATCTAAAATGTTGGATTTGCCAGTACCATTAAGACCGGTGATGGCATTAAACTCAGGATCCCAGCCAGTGATGTGTGTTCTTGAGACATAAGACTTGAAGCCTTCAATAATTAGTTCTTCAAGATACATTTGATCTACACTGAAAAAGGATATACAAACGTCCCCTTTGAAGAAAAAAAAAAAGAGAAAAAACTGCGGGAGTTCAAATATTTTGTCAGGACCACATTATGAGTGTATTGATTTTGGTGTACACTACGCGTACGCGAAAATACACGCGAGATATAGACGCCAACTGTGATATCACTTTACAACCTCATACTACCCAGACTGTACAGTAGAATATCCTTTAATCTAAAATCTGAGTTTATCATGATTGTATGTGAGCCAAGTGACCATTGTGGATCGAACTAACAGAATAAAGTAATAAAAACACTTCTTTTTTTATCTCTTCTTGAAAAGAAACAAACCGATATGGCAACTTTATAAATACATATTCTACATCGCAGGTAGTGTCTGTAGTATTAGTCCTCTTGTGTGTCACCTCGTGTGCATAATGTACACCTGGAAAAAGTGTGTATTTAAATTGACATTTGCTATTGATTTTAACCTTGGGGACCTTAATATAATCGATATGACGCACACAAAGTCCTGTAAATTTTTAAGGAATTTCTTGGTGATGAAGCCTTAAAGAAGCTTGAGCAGCCTTTACTTGTTTCCTGGGTCGAAGAGCCTCCATGTAAAACGCCACTGGATGCCTTATGTGCGGACAAAGTCGACTAGAGAGACTTGTGCGAGATCACCAGTACACCATTTATCAGCTCACAAGAATACCATCTTGGAAAGCACGTTGATTTGCGAACAATAAAGACAGTTACAGGAAAATGGCAATTATTTAAAGTGTGTAACATTTAAGATATATCCATAGATAGTGGCTCTGACAACTTTGTATCTCATAAAGCACTTTACTACTTACATCAATTAGGCATATTCTAGTCCTCTACTAATTTATAATGACAAAATCGTTTGCGATAATATACTTTCTTCTACATGCGTCTTTTCAATCGTTCGCTTGTCGCTTTAGATTTTGAATTTAGGCGTTCTTTTGCTGCAAGATACTACTTTGGAATATCTCTTATTCAAATAAGGATAAAATGCAACAGCATGATGTATCTCAACCTTGCTGTTACTATCGATCATTGTTACAGAGCACTTGGCCATTTCCGATCTCAGGCACATTTTTCAGGTTATAAAAAAAAGATGTCCAGTAGACATACAAGCCGTATTTAGACCTACAGACAGGCCCATGCTTGTGAACAGCATGATCAAGTAAGACATGTTTAATTTAATTTGTATTTATTTTGGGCTTGTGTCTTAATCACACTTTGCCTTGTCGGCACTTATAATTGCTTTCTTTCCCATTCTTTCACTCTATCTTTCTCTAACCTCTTCTTCTCTTTGCATATATATATATAATACAACTTCTTTTTAGATCTAAAGACGGAGTTTTTGCTCATCATGTTTAAACTTCCATATTGTCCATAAACTCATCATCATAAGCCCTATTAATAAAAAAAGGATAAGCAACTTGAATAAGTAAACAGTGCTCAACTTGCCTTAATTCTCCTTCCTCTTGCCCTATAGGCGCATTTAAGCTATTGTCAATGATAAGTAAATGATTCATAAAGCTGTCTTGATATTACCTTTCACTTTTAATCGAAAAGAAAATCATGCGTTTTAATTTTCGATTAAAAAAGAAATAATTTACTGACCAACTATGTGGGATATCAATAAGATATATACACACACCATAAGAACACACTTACAGGTATCCATCTTCATCATTCATAGGATCATCATCTGCATCTGGATTATACGTATACACATCACATTCATTCAACTGAACAATCTCATCCAATACATCCCAAAGTCTATTATAGTCACATAAGTATGTTCAGCACACACACACACACACATATGTATGTCTCATCATTTACCTGTACTGGTTCACGACGACATCATTTCCCAGATTAAATAGAGTTGTATTGACAGAATTCATGACCATCTCTATCGATGGCATCTTTATAAATTGATCAGGCCTTACATTTTCAAAATCGTTATCAGGGAAAGCCGCGTTTAGCGTTGCCAATAAATAAAAGAAGGTCTTTCTTGGTGTAGACTCTGTCAGTCTACCAAAAGGTGAAACGATTTGGATGTCATCAGGAGATATAGATCCAGGTGCTAATGTGTTGTATCTTTGTTCTAATGTTTTGAATAACTTTTTATCCGTACCAGCTGATTTGCCTAAGAAAATAGCTAATAAGTAAAAGCCTACTTATTGTAAAATATCTTACAAGAATATGCTTCAACACGTCCAGTGAGTATACATTCTGATGTTTCCCAACTGAGAGCAGTATTAATCACTTCAAGTGAGTTGACTTCAAGAAATTTCATAATGAAAAGAAAAAGGAGATTAAGAAAAAGGGAAAAGAAAGAAAGTGATAATGAGGTCATTGGTTCAATCATCTTTTAGAATTCCGGACCGTGTTACTTTTACATGCATAAATATGCTTATTAGCTGTAGCCAATCAAAATCATTTATTTAAATAAAACTGAAATGACTTCATGAATTGCACACTTACCACTAGGAAATTCTTTGCTTGTACTACACCAGAGCAATGATCTTTCAAACACATGATGCCCCAAGAAGGGAACACTTTTATTATTACAGCTATTTTGATTGCAATGCTCAAATTTACCAAAGCAACAAAAATTATCGAGGAAATGGTTGTTTCAATCATCATTAGAATCGCTGGCCGTGATATTTTTCAAGTATAGTGTGTACACTATTCCTGAGAAGGATACCTTTCGAAGATACCGTTTCTGTATATTTTGTATTATAAAAAAACTATATAACTTTATCTGATCAAAACCATCAAAGTAAATGCCAACCTCAATAGTGTTTTAAATAAAGATATCTGCGGAAAATATATATGATGAGAATGACATTGAAGCTGTAAGCATCGTGGGCCAGAAAGTTGGTCCTTATGTCTGAAAGACCAATCGGTTCCGGGTCCTATCTTGAAAATTATTCGAGCTTAACAGCTTCCATAGAATACAGTTCGTAGCTGGTAGGAATAGTACGAGGAGATACCGATTGTTTTTATTATTGGTAGGATACCCAATCGATAATACAATCCTTTAGCACCATTACAAGATGAGTATAAAGAATATCTGATTGGGCTATGAACAAGGATTCTCAAGTTGTGATGCAGCGTACGATTGAAGAGCTAACAAGCAACCTTATTGATTTTGGTAAGAAAGTCTAAAGCAACAAATGAAACCACAAATAATGATAAAAAAGAGCCTTTCAGAAACAAAAGAATGAAATATAAAAGAAATGATTAATGAATCAGTTATTAAACTGATACTAAGTACTTACATTATAAATAAGAGG